AAAGTTTTAAAAAATCCCAAAAATGGGATTTTTTGGTTTTTTGCCTATTATATCCATACCAGGGGCGGGGTTATCGAAACCCGTTACAAAATGATTAAGAACTTATTGGGTCATATAAAACAGGTCACTATAATTTGATATCGACTATGCGATTTGAGAATTTTTGCTCAAAATTTAATTTTCCATAAAAAATAGGGTTTTTTTGGATGGACCTGGTCCCCTCGGTATCAAAAATTTTTAGGTTTTGTTTCATTTATCGTATTTTATGTAAAGTCAGCTTTCCAAAAAGTATAAATTCTATATACATCTTCTTAGAAACTTTTTAGATAACTTAAAAAGAAAAAGATACTTTTTTCCCAAAAAAATGACAAAAAATCGCCTTTTTTTAATTTTTTAAATTTAAATGCCTATAACTTTGGACTCAGTCATGATTTTTACATAATTCTTTCACTGCTTGGTATATAAACTTGTTGTTAAGCAAATAAAAAAAAATGGCGAAAATCGGAAATATTTGGACCTGCTATTATCAAAAAAACTAAAGTAAGGACGGTAAAAATTTTAAAATTTTAATATTCAAATGCGAATATCTCCTAAACTATAAGAGATAATTTACTGCTACGACGACATTTTTTATAGTGCTCGATGAGGAGATTCTATATACGAAATTTTTTTTAAATCGGAACTCAAATGAAGAAATAGGATCGTTTTAAAAATTTAACATAGCCGAGGTGTCCTAATTTGAGGACCCCCCGCCGGGCCCCTGGTTGGCCTATAAGGTCCAAATTCAAAACCTAAACTCGACAACACCTCCTCTTTGTGCATACCAAATTTCATTAAAATCGGATTAACCGTTTAGAAGTTACCGAATTATTTCCCTCTTTTTTTTTTCCTATACCACTGTGCAGCACTAACAATAGAATGTAAAACTAAAAAAAGGAACTATTCTATTAGATTGAAAATACATACTCGTAACCCAGCTGCAGCGAAAATGTCTGAATACAACACAAGTTGTAATAGAAAATGTGTAGACTTTATTGTATTTAGTGGAAAATATAGAAGAAAATTGGAAAACAGGAAAAATGATTTCAGTTAAAATGTATTTTTAGTTAAAAAAAAAAAATACAAAATGTTTAGAGGGCAAAAAAGAAAAATATAAATAATTTAAATAATTTATTTCGCTCGAATTAATATCACTCTAGAGAGAAATCAATTTGAACGCTCTCCTTACTCTGATTACTAATAATGAAGTACTAACCTTATACTTTTGACTTATTTATTTAAAAGAAAAATTTATTTAACTTTTAGTTATATTAAAATGACTTTTAATACTGTATGTATGTATATGAATATATTTATATATCATAATATTCTATGTTTATTTATTATTTACTAATTCAAAACTAATGAATTTGTGTTTATCAACTAATGACAAAAATCTATAAATCATTCTATTAGTTTTTTTTAAGTAAAATTTCAACTAAATATGTAACAAACAGTTTATGAATGAAATTTATTAAACATTTCTAAGAATTTTCCTGCAAATATAAGTTAAGACACATTCTTCAAATCTTTCAACAGTTATTACTAAATAAAAAAATAAAACCTTTTGAAAAATATTTAATGAATAAAAAAATTTAATTATTCTTGAATTGGTGAATTGCTGCATACAATTTTCATTTGAAATATGTATATAAAATATTTTATATATTTTTATTTATGAACAATACTTGTCGTAAAAATAACTATTCTTGGGAATTTCATAACAAAAAATGAAAAAATTACTTCCTTTTTTTGTTGGGGAAAAAAATGCCAAATTATTCTTAATTAAATGCATATTTATTATTTTGTTGTTTTTTATGATAATAAAATCCTAATAGTTTATATAAACAAAAAACTAATAGCTACGTAGGTCACTATATAAGTAAACGTCGTTTAAAAAACAGGAAGTTTCTGCAATATTTGATATAAATTTCTTTTAAAAGAAAGATAATTTTTGCATTCTTTTTTAAAACTTAAAATTGTTTAAAAAAAGTTTTGTAGTATAATAATTTTAACTTGATTTTTATATGAAACCTTTTGCCACAACCTTTGCACTTTTTATATATTTTTTTAACAATAACTAAACAAATAAATAAAAGTGTGTATTTTGTTTAAATAAATACTCAAACATGTGTTAAAATTTTATATTTTCTTATTTTCATTATAAATTGGAATTTTAGTTTTAAAACTAATTGCTTTTAAAAATATACGTAAACAAAAAACAATTATTTTAAATACACTCTACAAGCAGCTACTTTAAAACTATCTATAAAAATATGCTTATATAACATTAAACAGCATATTTTGGCATTTTTTGTAAAGCAGCGCACAACAAGCCCGATGAGGTATAGGTGTATTTCAGAGGTTTATATGCATACATACACCAAATCTTTCTTACAAACTGAAACACTATGTACTTATATTTGTACTATACTTAAAAGTCTACTAAGAACATTTCTTTTAATATATAACATTTGATTAAATTTGTATATTTCCTATAAAACCATAAATAAAAAAAAAAAACAAAATAATATTTAAACAATAAGAGGTAATAAACAATTATATTTTAAATAAATATTGTAATTTATGCATGAAATAATACACATTGCACAAACACCCTTTAAATATGCAATAAAATATCAATATTTGTTTAATCAAAAAGCAAACACACACACAGTTTGCCAAGGGCAAATATATACACACACAATCATACAATCACCGTTAGGCTTCAAAGCCGAGAGTAAAATTTTAAAATAAACGTTTTTGAAAAATTACTTAAGACTTTATTTTCTTTAGGGATTTTTTTAAGTACAATTTTAAGAAAATTCTTTTAGATTTTTGTTTCTTTTAACATGGTCATTGTTATTGTAGACATTTTCTTATTTATTAATTAAATGAAGCAGAACAGACACTTGTCATTTTATTTTCATGCTTCTTTCTATATTCTTTTTATATATTTATACTTATGTAGATTAAGTATGTTTTTTAATTTGTTTTTATAATAATAAAAAATGTTTGTCCTCAATTTAACATAAAATTATCTGGTGAATTGAAAATAAAATCTAGTTAACTTTTAGTTGAATGACTTCAGTGTTGAAATTTTCAAAGCCAGCACTTGTCACTGATGTGTCTGTCATAGATGTAAAAAAATCTAGAATCAAAAAAAGATTTTCATCATTAACAATGTCGTTGAGTCTACCTTTGAGAGGTCACTTTGGTAATTTCTATGCTGCCTGTTGAAACTTAAGAGGAGAGAAAATAAAGTATATAATTCATTCACCCATATACATGTACTTTGAAGAATATACACTTATATACATACATTCATATATACATATGTATGTATGTAAGTGGATATATAAAATATAAGGGAATAGAAAGCAAATAGCTGGGAAATATATATATTATAGTATATAGTATAAACATAAAAATTTTCAAGGACACTTGTTATTTATATGCATTAATGTGTTTTTATTTTTTTTATTTTGTTTATGTTTTCTTTCTCTAGTCGTAATTTAGTAAGGATGTATTGTCTAAGCAGTTCTTAAAGTTATCGATGTATTGTTTTTTTCTTTTTTCAAATTAACTTCCCTCTTTATTAACAGGGACATGTACAATAATCTATCAATTATCTTGGCATTACCTATTCTAATTCCCCCTCCATTATAAGTCACATCTAGTAGGTGGTTAATTGTGCTTTAGTGCCAATAAAACCGTAGATATTTTGATTTGGCCATCATTTATACTTTTAACCATAAAAATTTTCCACAAGGTTGTATATCAAACGATAAACTTTAAGTAATTTTAAAAACTTTTCTTTACCTTTACTGTTATTATTTGAAGATTATCGCCATAGAGAGAGAATAAATTTAAAAAAAAAGAACAAAAATATAAATAATCTAAAGAAGAAATATTATACTTAAAAAGCGTAAATAAGTATCTATTTATATATACAATATTACCAATAGTACTTTAATAATATTGATAATTTGTCAATTATTTATTACAATTTGGTTCAAAATAACACAGACAGCCACAGGTCAGGTCAACCAAAGAAAATATCTGTAAAATATAAATAACCAAAAATAACATTAAAAGAAAAATGTGAAAATAAACAGGTTGTTTTTCAATAAACTTTCTAGCGGAAGATCATAAATTTAAATATTCTCGAACATTTATCTTGATTTTGGGCAACAAACAACAGCAGCAGCAGTCCAAAACCCATAAAAATGATGAACATTTTAGTTCAGTTTACAATACAGACAAAAAAAATTATAGAAAAAAGTAGGAAACCATTTGTTGTGGGTAAAAGTAAATAGAAATTTATCTTTAAAATATAAAGGTTACATAAAGTCCTCTACAACTAACAATTAATGTAAAAAATTGCTTTAAATTTTTAACAAACCTTTCAATGTTTCTTAATGTTTGTTGGCTAAATTGGTTTTAATCTGTTACGTTTTTTGCTGTTGCTACTACTGCTACTGAGCAGTTGCCGGTAACATGTTAATTAAATTGAATTCAATTTCAAGTGATTTGCTTTACTTAAAGAATCCTCTTCATCCTTGCTTTATGTTTTCTTTTAACATTCCCTTTTTTACTACTTGTTCATTTTATCCATTCTTATATTTTACTTGCAACATCAATTAATCTTATATTTCAGTTCAAGTTCGTTCGTAAGGAGTTTTTCCATTTGATTTTTGCATAAAAAAATGTTTTTCACATTTTTTTTATTACTTTCTTACTCATGTTAAACATTTTCAATTATTTAAGCAATATTTTTTTTTTTTGTGTAGTTAGTGTTTTATTGGGGTCATACTTTTTCCATTACGTTTTAAAATCACTTTGATTTCAACTGTGATATTATTGAACAATTTTGTTTTCATTTAGCATTTAACTACTAAAAACTTACATTTGCATTTTTGTACATTTTTTTAACAATTTTTCATTTGCTTTATTTGCAGGCTTGATTTTCGTCCTAAGAGTGGCATTTACGATTTGCAAATTAAAAATGCTTCATACAATCGTGACAATGGTCGCTTTGAGTGCCGTGTTAAGGCCAAAGGCACTGGAGCCGATGTGCATCAGGAATTTTATAATTTAACTGTACTTACACCACCACATCCGCCCGTCATATCACCTGGCAATATTGCCATTGCTACCGAGGATAAAGCTATGGAATTGACTTGCAGTAGTATTGGTGGCTCACCCGATCCCATGATAAGGTAAGCAATATCCTTTGATTTTTTTCTTCCCCTTCTCTTTCTCTCTCTCTCTGTTGTTTGCTTCCTTTGCTGGTCTTATTCTTTTTCAGATTAAATTATATTTAAGTGTATTGCAGACAAAAACGATTTGTTATTGTGTTTGTTAACACACTGAAAAAAAATGTGGAGCTATTTTCGTATTATTTAAAGAAATTTTATTTATAATAAATGACACATTGTAAAACAGTTTTCTTATACTTATGTAAATTTTTTCAAGTAACAGTTTTTTTCAGTGTATTAATGGCTCACATTCATGAGTGGCAATATTAAGTCGTGGTCAATTCAATGCGTACAAAATGCGTAACAAAAGCAAAATTACTTAATTCAACAGTAAAATGTTTTACAGCTGTAGTTTTATACCTTAAAATAATAAGTAAAACTTATTTTGTCACTTTTGTTTGGTTTCACTTTATGACATTTTCATGTATTTTTTATAGATTTTATTTTTTCAACAATTTCTGCTTCTCTTTTGTGTTTTCTACTTATAAAATGATTTTTCTTGGAAACTTAAACACGTGTTATTTGTAATTTTACCATTAAAGTGAAAATAATACTTGAAGTACTATAGAAATAAATGAATGAACGAACGAACCAACGAGAGAAGAAATAACTAAAGTAAAAAGTCTCGTACTGAAAATGAAAACCTCAACAGCAGCAGCAGAAGTACAGAACAAAATTAACTTGCATAATAAATTTCACTCTTAATTCTCTTATGGTTCGCACTGAAAAGTATGTGTGTTTTTTTAAATAAAATTTAAAACTTTATTTTGCATTAAATATATAAAAAGAGAATTAAAATTGAACATTTTCCCGCAACATAAGGGAAATATGCTGTTTTACTGTGTTTTGTTGGCATACTTTGAGGCGTTACTTTATATTAAGTTAATATTTTTTCTTAAAAGAATAGCTTTCTCTCCAGTTTCATAAAAATATTAAGCAGCTGTTAACATTAATAACATTAATTTTAAGAATTTTCTAGTAAACAATTTTATCACGCACTCTCTTCCGCTATATACGAAAAATATTTCTATTCAATATTGTTTGCATACTTGGAGGCGCCTTTTTAATGGCATTCATGTTTTATTAAAAAACTGACACTCAAGCAATTTTTTAATATATTTTCACTTTTCTAACAATTTTTAATAAAATGTTAAATTAACATTAGTAACAAATAAATTCCTTATCATTTTGAGGAATTCATATAAAATTTTAAATCCTGGTTCTGGTGTTAATTGTCATTGATTAATAAACACCATAGCGAATTTCGTTTTAAGGTGAAACCTTTGTTGTTTAATTTTAAATTAAAAACTATAACAAGAATTAAGTTTCACTTTATGTAATAAATAATTAGATTTCATTAAAAGGGAGCTTTAAGAAAAAACAACTTTGCAACAGCAATTTAAAATTATGTAAAACGGAAGTTAGCCAAAAAATACAGAAACCTACATATACAACCATAAATTCTAGGGGATTTAAACACTTTGAATGAAACATTTAGTGAGCCAACAATTATACATGCAGCCTTATTGCATCATTTTGCTGAAAGGAAAACAAAATACATTTTATGATGGTGGTAAAGGGGTAATAAAACCCTAACCATTATGCCAGCATTTTAACCGTTACAAAGGCTACGATATCATGATCAAGGGGTTTAAACAAAAAGAGTATAAATTGTAAACAAAAACAAGCCACTCAATGAAGCCCAAACAAAAACAAATGCAAATTTTACTATACAGCAATTTGCCACCGTTCAGTCAATCATTGATGATGATAATAATGATGACGACGACGACAATGATGACGGTTGTTTTGTTGTACAATAAGATGTATGTGTGTTCATCAGTCTTCCAAATAAAGAGTTTTATAGCACAAGCAAAGGCAGCAAATCTCTTTATTTTCCTACTTTGTTTTAACTTTTATATTCCTCACATTTATAATCCAAAATATTTTTAAACAACAATTCATTTTCTTTTTCTCGTTTTGCACTTGTGTTTCTTTAACTTGATTTCCGGTTTGGCAACGTGCATTGCTGCTGCAGCTGGTATCGCGAGGGCAACAATGCTTTACTGCAAGCTGTTGTACTTAAAGGAGGCTCAAAGGATCAACCCACCAATGCAACACTATCCATTGTACCTCGTCGCGAGGATGATGGTGCCAAATATAAATGTGTTGTTTGGAATCGTGCCATGAATGAGGGACAGCGCTTGGAAACCACAGCCACGTTAAATGTTAATTGTAAGTAAACTTGTTTTTTTTCACTTTGTTTTTTTTTTTTTTTTTTTTTTTGAAATTGCATACATACACACGGCTATACATATGTATATTTTGTCTGTTTAAGCCCATCAGAGGCAAATGGAAAAAAGTAAAATATTTAACTTGTTAAAACAGGACATGCATGTAACAATTTGCAAATAACAACAAAAGCAAACAAGCAAAAATTGTATGCCCGGAATAAAATTGCAAACTAAAAGCCAAATAGGATTATGAAGTAGTGTTGTTTTTGTTGTTCTACTGTATTGTTGAAGGTATTAAATAAAAATATTTACAAAGCACTAGTGCACTATTTTTTTTTTTACCCGCTCTCTCTCTTTCTCTGTCCCTCTATACGCCATTTTTATTTTCCTTTCCTTGACCATTTATTTTGGTTGCTAATTGTATTTATCTTTCCAATAACAGCGGCTTCATGTATATATTTCTTTATATTATTTAACGTTGCTGTGGTCGAATATCAAAATGTCAAACAAATCTACTATTTTTTTGGGTTGTTTTTCAGAAAACGATTAATTCTTTAATTGTTGTTCATTTTCAGACACAATTTTTTGTTTCTCTCTCTCTTTCTCTTTTTAATTGTTAACCTCATAATTTTCGCCAGATAACGTCAAATATGAGAATATAAATAAACATGTTTACAAATTGTATTTAAATTGAGTTGACAGGAAACGGAAATAACATTGGTTTTAATTTAATACATTTATTGACTGGCGTTTTTTTTTTGAAGATTTCACAGAAATTGTAAACGTAATAAGAGAGAATAAAAGTGTACTATTTGCAAGTGGTTTTAACTAGTTGTATATAAAATAAATTTTGTATTATTAAACCACTTGTTGCTTTTTGGTAAATATATTTTTATTAAATATTTACTATGTGATGTTATATTTTACATATTGTTATACCCTATGGGGAGGGTATTATGCGTTTGTGCTGATGTTTGTAACACCCAAAAATATAGGTCCTAAAGTATACTAGTCGGCTAAGAATCACTTTCTGAGTCAATTTAGCTATGTCAGTCTGTCCGTCTGTGTGTTCATGTAAACCTTGTAAACCCGAATAGGGCTTTTGGTTCCGTTGAATGGGGCTAGGTGAGAAAATGGTCCGATGTTAACCATTTTCAATAGGCTTAGTCTCCGGTACCATAGAAGATCATGTGCCAAATTTCATTGAATTATCTTCAAAATTGCGTTTGATTACAAGGATGGACATAGCTAAATCGATTCAGAAAATGATTCTAAGCCGATTGGTATACTTTAAAGTGGGTATAGGACTAATATTATTGTACGTTACAAACATCAGCACAAACCCAATATACTCTCCCCACTAAATTTTGTAACATTTGTAACATAATCACCGGTATATGATCATATGATCGGTCATGCCCGACTTAAAATTCTTACTTGATTTTTTTTTGTTAATCTTATTATTTCCAATGTCGTTAATAATTAATAGAATTAAAGTATATAAAACTGTTTTCTTAACATATTATTATTTATAACCTTAAATTATGTTATTGTAATGCATAATTGCTACACTTAACCCATATTAGACAAGTGACCATTTCTAAACTGATATCATTTAATAAGTTACACCCTCTTCACAAGTTTTACCATTTATACCGAAAGTATATTTAAATACAAAAGGTGACAATAATTTCACACACAATTGTCCATGATGTTCATGTTCAAATGGTCAAAAATAAAGTCCACGAAATTATTTAAATTATGTATTTTCCAAAAGTATTCATAAAAAAAGTAAAAAGAGGGTTAGACCTGTAAATGAACAATTGTAATTTTCGTTTGCATGATAAATATTTTTTTCATTCTCTTTTCATATTTAATATATAGAGTCTTTACCCTATAATTTTGCCATTAATATTACATTTAGTATTTTCCTTTATTCCACTTTTGTTTGTGGAAAGTTGGTGAGTGGTAGGTAGTGTTGGTGTCTTTGGCGTTGATTTAATGTTAATGGTTTATTAGAGAATTAAAACACCTTTGGAGTGAAAATGACCAATGCCCGCTAGCCATTTAAACTGTATATGGTTGTTTTGTTTTCAACACAGTAAAATTTAATTCGAAATAAATGTTTTATTTATAGGTTTCCTTGAATGGAGTTTTCCATCTATGATTAGGTATTTATGATATTAATGAAACAGTCAGTTTACAAATAAAAGGCAATTATACGGATTGTATTATAATGGTTTTGGATCATATCTCGGTAATTTACAAAACCAATTTCAATACTAAATTCCCGAGTATATTTGCTAATCAAATCTCTAATATTAACTAGTTTAAGAAATAACAAATTATTTTAGACAAGAGTTGTAATACAAATTTGATAGTATTTTCTATTTATAAAGCTATTTCATAGCTTTCGTTTGATGTATAAATTATGGACAGATTTAACTAATTTCATAACAAATATCCATAGAAAGATATAGTTAAATCGATTCCGTTTCTAATTTCTGCGGAAATTACAGGTCAGTTTGTATTTTAAACTTTTGCAATTTCCATATTTAAATAAGATTTTATAAACTACAGTTTATTACATTATTGGGTAGGAGGAGCACTAATTAAAGCATCAATTAGTTGGTTGTTGGCTTTAATATATTTTCCCATGTTGCATGTCAACTTTATTGCTGTTGTTGTCATGATCAACTGATTTACCTTGTGTTATATTATAATAACTTTGTATTTTATGGTAGCAAGTATTAAATATACAAAAACAAAAATTAAATTACAAACAAGTACGAGTAATAATGCAAGAGTTGCTGGTTTGTTCCTACGTTCTTGTAGCTACTTTTTTGCTGTTGTTGTCTCAAATCCAATTTACACTTAACTTGTAGCTGTAAGGTTGAGAGGTGTTTTTAACCATAGAACTTGCAGCACTCAGGTCGCGTGATTTTATAAATGTTTTATACTACAAAAAAAAAAACAACTAATAAAGAAGAGAAAAATTTCAACACAATGTGGGATGAAATGGATGGATGGTTGTTGGTCGGTCACTTTGTATGTGGTCAGGTGGAAAATTAGTAATTCTTGTGGTTAATCGCATCTAAAGTTAAAGTTACTGTCGTTGTTGTTGATTTGATTGCATGTTTCTTTTCACACACACACACACAGATACACTTACTCTTCTGTGTTTTAGTGTGAGTAATTGTATTTGTGTTAGTATAATGGCATAATTAGGCGTCATATCAACGTCTGCTGATTTTAAATTAATTACGCATTTAAAGTTGCGTTTTTTATTTTCATTTTCCAGCGAGTAGTATTTTTATAACCCTTTTAAATGTCAGTGGATTTTTTGTTTTGCTTTTTCTGTTTATATTTTAAATCCCCAAGATATTTAAAAATTAATCTCCACCATATTTGCGTGTTGGCACGCAGTTTTTGTTGTGCTTTAGATTTTTAACATGAATTTTCCATAAATCCTTTATTAATTTAATACAAATTTTAGTCGTGTTGTAGTAAACAACAATTAAAACGAAACTTTACATTTAACAGAAAACAAATGATTTACAAATATTAAGAAAATACACGCACAGAAATGTTTACAGTAATCATTTTAACATGATTACAAGAGAATTTAACAGTTGAAATGGTTACTGTAATCATATGTTTAGTTGTTGTAACCAGATATAGCCAAAAGTTTATAACCGTTTCTTTGGTATCTCTGTTTAATGTACAGCTAAAAATTATTCAATTTCAAGATTCAAGAACTCTTTATATTCTTTGCAATCATCGAAAGTATCCTAGTCGATAATTTATCGATTTTGTTCTGAATTTTTTCATGAGCCTCTTGTTTTATTCCATGTATTTTCTTCAAGTAGAAAGTAAATCTATTGAAAAGTTTTGGACAGTTATCCGTCTATGATGAATAAAATGCTCTTGAAGTTTTTTGCAATCCAAAATACATTTCTTCCAAATTGTAATTGAACAGTTCTTTATAACTTAACATATTTTTTTCTACGAATGTATAATTTAAAAATTTAATACAATGTGCTTAAAATTTAATTAAAAAGTACTTCTGATATTTTCTTATATTTTTTGAGAGGACTGTAAAACAAAATAAACATTATCAACATGTCCTTTACCACCACCAGCATGTTGATTTTAGCACTCATCTCATCCTGATAGTTCATTTTTGGCAGCATGTTTATTGATTCATTAAATATTTAACACTTTAAGTTCAAACATTAAAAGAACTAAATACTGAATGTTGTTACAACTACAATGTATTAAGTTTATATTTTGCAACAGAAAAACCCTTATCTTAATGGTCAACCAATGTTGAGGTTGTATGTGTGTGAGTGTGGAATCCTTTTTTTAATGTTTATTTATTCTTTGGTGTTTAAGGTGTTTTCATTATTTTAAATGTGTTTGTGCATTAATTTAAATTATATGCAGTGTACTATAGTAAGACAACACACTCTTATACATACATACATATTTATAACACCAGCAACAAAAACGCAAAAGACCAAAGCTATAAATATCCTGTGCCTTTTTTTATGTGGATTTTTTTACTCTTTCTCTCGTTTTCTGTTGGCAAATAGTATGTGGCTGTCTTTGGAAACTTCTAAAATTTTGTACTTAACATGTATTATATGAGGGCTTAAATAAGACATTTTACATAAAATTAAATTGCTTCTCTTATGCGAACATGCCAACGAAATTGTTACCATGATCAAAATCTTGCCAACAAATTGTGTTTGAATTTTTATTTGCCTTTTTGTTCACTTTAATTGTTGATAATGATTGTTATTTATTTAAAATTTCTTTATTTGGTGGGTGTATATATATATATGTATATTTGTTACCTTTTGATAAACATATTTGTGTGTCTTTTATAAATTATTTAATGAAAAAACATTTAAAGTACTCTTTTGTTTAGAAATTCTACTTTTCATTAGTTCTATTGTTACATACATCTCATACAAAACACTAATACATATTTGAATT